AAAATACTGCTTCTGTCATCTGGAAAGAAAGCCAAGGCTGGTGGAATGGCTCAAATGGTAGAATGCCCGCCTAGCAAGCGCAAGGCTGAGTTCAAACCCAGTACTGCAAGGAAAAAAAAAATCCCTCTGGAAAGGAAGCCAATTGACAACCTAACTGACAGAAACACACAACTTGTGGAGAACCCTGTGATGCTGCCTAACAATGATGTCACAGGGAGCTAAAGGGAAGTGACTTTGCCTGAAACTTACACTTTAATGCAGGGCCTCAGTGTTAGGCCTAGCCATCCCAGAAGGGTAGTGGCTGGACAGCTGCCCTAACCAGGCAGCTGGGGCACCTGCACACCAATCTCAAGGGCATGCCTGTAATCCTAGCTACTTGGAAGGCAGAGATCAGGAAGACCAGGAGGACTGTGGTTCTAGGTAAGCACAGGCAAATAGTTCACAAGATCCTACCCTGAAAATACCCAACACAAAAAAGGGCTGGAGTGGCTCAAGTGGTAGAGCACGTGCCTAGCAAGCGTGAGGCTCTAAGTTCAAACTCCAGTACTAGAGAGGAAAAAAGAAAGGCATGTTGTGTCTGTGAAGTGACTTTCCTGGAAACAGAGAACTTTTGGAAGAGAACAAAACACAATCACTCCTGACTTGTAGGACAGGTGTACATTCCTGGAAAATTCAGAACGTGTTAAAATTATGTCAAAGAAAAGTTTTATCTTTGTATGTAAAATAGATCAGGCTTAGGATATCACAAGAGGGATTTTCCACCTACATGAAAGCCACACAGTGTAGTCGTCTTACTGCCAAGTATCAGTGTTGCCTCCCAACCTGAGAGAGGAAAAATGTTACCATGAATTTCAAAATCCCCTTTCTGGGGACTACATAGCCACTACAGGGACCAGGGCCACCTGTAACTAGGCACCTGACCGTGCTGTACTGCTCCTGGAAGATCTCCAAACCCATGAAGCACCCATGGCCACTTCAGGGCCCTTCCTCCAATTGTAGTGGGCCACCAAGAAGCCTCTGGTTTTTCCCTCAGACCCACAGATCCCTCATTCTATCATACTTCTGCTCAAATGCCACCTGTCAGGCAAAGTTACTTCCTCCTTGTCTGCAGCCTTCCCTAGGACAGATGTTCCACCAGCATAGGCAGCTTTGTGCCTCATGCTCACTATGTGAGGGCCTCCTCCCCCACCTTCTTCGACTAAGTCACTAATAGGTGACTCAATCGTAAAAGAGGAGAAGAAAGCAGTAGTAAATGAACATTATCAGGGCCCTTGGAATCAAAAAGATCATACAACACCTGCAGATATGTGTGAAAAAACCTATGGAGTCAACAATGAATGCTGCACGGTTTTAAACTATACACCATGGCTCAGTCTGAACATTACTGAGCCTGTAATGATGTGGAGACCCACATGAACAGAAACACTGTGAATTGCTGAAAGGCAAAAGCCAGCATTCCCACAATGTCAAATCCGCAGGAGGGGCAGGGTGTCAATAAAACAAGTATATTTCAGTTAATCTTCCTGGTAATTTTAAAAATCTGCTATCATTTTGACTGGAGAGAAATGCCAAAAGTATAAATAATTCAAGGAAAATTTCACCAACAAAGGTGCCAAAATATATGGTATTTTAAATATAGACTAATGTATTTAGCAGGTGAGGAACTGCATTCTCACCTACAGGAGGCTTCAAAGTTATTTTATCTCCAGCACATTTATCTCTGTCTTCATTCTCACTCTTTAGGAACAAGTCTAGATAAAATCTAGAAATCCTCTTCTTGGCCACATACACCCAAATCATACTGATAGGATAAATAATTCTTGTGAAAAATCTTCAGAAATACCCGGAGAATCAGGATTACAGAATTTTTTGCTTAGGTACATCATATTTAAAAACATTTTGACATCTGACACTGACAAAAATGAATTAACTATTTTACAAATTATACCACAAGAAGCCCTTTGGAAATGAATCCTAGTTTGCTAATTCCTTTAAGAATGCTTATTTTAGCATATCCTAACTAGGTTTTTAAATCACATCATATATTTCTCACTTCCTGAAATATGTAGGGATGGTAGCCAGAGTCTTCTACTCACTCAGGCTTGTCTACATAACAAGACCCCATCTCCAAAAATGTCTGACTGCCTTTCATGCTTTGTTTTGTCTCCTCCCTTCTTGTCACTTAAACTTTCCCTGTTATTAGGGGCCTATATCTTCCCTGTCTGCTGCTTGCCAAGCCCTGTTAATGCAGTGAGTAAAAACCAGGAAACAGAATCAGTTAGGGACACTGTAGAAGCAGAGCCCTGATTAGATAGCCTCACCACTCCCACAGTGTGCAGGATGACAGAACTCTGGATGAACACCTAAGACCTTCTTGGGAATAAAGACCTTGGCTGTATCTGTGCTGAACTGTGAAGCAAAAATCAGACCATATGACCCACCTGAGAATGCTGAACTACCTTCCAGAACCAGTGATACAGCTGCACAGGTATCATCTATGAACTGCAATGGCACTTCAAAGGGTTCACAACAATCACAATTGGACACAAACCTAAGTGTGGTGTATGTGACTGGGAATCCCAATGTATACCTCCAACTCTTCTGCCCCACCAATCTTTTACAGGGTAATCTTTTCCTCTTTTGACAGTACTGAGGTTAGAACTCAGGGCCTCATGTTACTACATAGGTGCTCTACCACTTGAGCCAAGCTCCCAGTCCTTTTTTGTTTTAGTTATTTTTCAGGTAGGGTCTTGAATTTTTGCCTATGGCAGGCCTCAGATTCTCCTGCATGATGCCCAGCTTACTGACTGAAAAGGGGTTTAACTCTCTGTCCAAGCTGGGCTGGCCTCAAACCTTGGTCATCCCAATCTCTACCTCTTGAATAGCTGGGATTACAGGTGTGAACCATGCACCTGGCACTCAAAGCTTTTTCAATGAGTGGATACAGCACACACACAAAAAAAAGGACAAGTGCTTATCTAAGATTCCAACTGAAAGGAATTTTCATGTTGCTCTCCCAGCTACCTCTGACAGATGTGAGCTTTATTTCCTTTTGCTCTCCTAATTTTATGAAAGCAAAACTCCAACAGGGAGAATGCCCACACAAGTCAACAGGGTTAGGCCATGAATATCATGGCAAGCTAGGGTCTGACTAAGTGGAATGCCACAGCTCTCAGAGAAATGTTTGGAAAAGCTTGGTAAGCAGAACTTGTGATTAATTAAAAGCAGATTTAGACCTAAACATGAGCCCAACATTTGAAGAATCTGGAAAAAAAAAAAAATCCAACTGCAAACCACAGTAACATGCTATTCCATGAACTTGCAAAACAGGTTTTCCTGGGTTGGCCACCTGATTGGGGGTCACCTCAGCAGCTGCCAGTCCATATTACCCTTACCTTGAAAAAGAAGCCAGATATCCCTTCCTGTAGTTTCAAGCCTGTCTGGTCCTAGGCAAAGGCAGTCTGACAGGTGAAGATGTCTCAATAACCTCTCCACACAATATTGTGTAAGAGGTACAGGGAACACCTGATTGAAAACCTACAACTGTGAGAAGCACAATTTTTGCTTTCTACTTTTTAAATTTTTTTTAGTGCTGGGGACTGAACCCAGGGCCTTGCATGTATTAGGCAAGCACTCTGCCACTGAGTTACATCCCCAACCCTGTTTTTGCTTTCCATTAACTTTCTTTCCACAATGAGTAGACTGTGAGTCAGCTGTTATTCACCCCAACTGTCTTAAACCAGTGTGTGTATGGTGCTGAGAATCGAAACCCAGGCCTCAAGTATGCTAGCCAAGAGCTACAGTCCCAGCCTGTGTATCTACACTCCCTGTGTATCTGGCCTCATGGCCAAGAGCATATTGCAGATGTTCTGACAACTCTGCCTCATTTTCAGTAAGATACCTGAGGGCAAGCTACAGATGTCACCCTGCCCAACAATGTGAGGAAACCTTTATGCCAAGGAGACAACACACATCTTAACAATGCAGCCCACCATTTCTGTGACTGGCACTTAAGTCATGCAACTTCTCTCAATTTTGGGCTTAGCTAGTAACACTTAATTTCAAGTCCTTGAAATTTTGGTTACTTGTGGCAGTGCTGCTGAAAATTCAAATGAAGTGAGGACACCATCCATGTAGTCCCACATGTCAGATACTGGTTAAAGTGGAGAAGGGCAACAGGGACCAGCACACATTGCACTTACAGCATCCCACTAGTTTTCTGACAGACACACTGCAGAAAAATACCAGAAAGCAGCTGGCAGAAAAAAAAAACTGCTGACCACTAGTTCTGAAACAAGAACTATAACTGTGACCACTCCAACACTGGGAGTGGCACCAACTCTCCAAGGTGACTTCTGCGACCACCCCAGTGATCAGTAGATGTCCCTTCATTTTCTGCCCACTATTACAAGTACAAAAAATGCTACCCAATTTTTGCTGAGAGCCACTTGCTGTTTGGATGTAGGCAGAAACAATTAATACATTGTACATTGGTCCTGCCAGGACCACCCTGGTTGTTCAATCAAAACTGTGCACTGGGTCTGGCTTCTGCCCCTGCAGGCTGCTCAGAGGCTTCGAGCAGGCTGTTCCACAGGCAGGTTAAAGATCACCAGTTCAGAAGAGCCCTTCTAATTTACCTAGAAGGACATCAAGGAAACTACCCTGAGGATGATCATCAGCCCTTCTTCCAGAAGCCACCAGGGCCTAGAGTGAAGACCCTAATTCAAATCTCACGGGTTGAGGAAACCTCTGTAAGTGCCGATCCTAAATTATGTCTCACAAGGGCCAAGGGGGGGGTCACTCTGGGCTCCCCCTAAGGTCCGCAGATACTCTCGTTCGATTCAGCAGCCCGGGGTCCCTGCCCACTCGCCCATCTCTCTTCCCTTTCCTCACTTTCAGTCTCCTGGCAAACAGGAACTGGGCCCGGGAGGCCGAGGTGGAAGCCCTCGCTACCTGCTTGACCTTGACGCCATCTCAGGGCCGCCCGATCCTCAGTTTACCCGTTCCCGAGGCCAGGCCTGCGCCCGGAGGCTGTCAACTCCCTTTCTTCACGGAGGGAAACTCCGTGGACCCCACCGGACTCCAACTGCCAGTTCCTTCCACCCTGCACCCTGGGTGTGGAGCCTCGGGAGGGGCGCACAGCGGAGCAGAGAGAGCAGGAAACCCGGCTTCCTGGAGGAGAGCCCGGAGGCCCGGGCGGATTTCCGGGCTGCGGCCGGCGGCGGGAGGCCTGGAGGGCTCGGGCAAGGAAGGACCGGGAAGCAGTGGAGCGACGCTGGGGCCTAAGGGGCGCTCCGGATACTCCCCACCGACTCGGCCCGGCTGCCTAGGCCCGTTCGGCCCCGATCCTGGCCCAGCCGCGGTCAGCTCGGCCCCAGCTCCCCTTTTGCCACCGCGATCAAGGGCCCACGCGAGCCCCAGGCCGCCCGGCCCACTCCAGTCTGTGGCCAGATCATCCGCTCGCCCCTATTCCTCACCTCAGCTGCAGCTGCTCGGAGCCAGGCGTTGGTTTCGCTCCCACAAGATGGCGGCGCTGACGGCAGCCACGTCAGCGCCTGCGGCCCCGGGGCAGGCCGGGAAAGGAGGCGGGCACACTGGAGCTCCGCCTACTGTGCACTATGCGCACGCGCACTGACGTGAAGCGGGCTAAAGGGGCGGAGCCGGAGATGCCCCGCCCCCGGTTCGCGGTCCCTGTTAGTACAAATCACCAGTAACCCGACAGGGCCGGGCGAGGCTTCGGAGTCCGTGGCTATCTTGCCGCAGAGACTTTCAGCCCATTTCTCAAGTGCGGAGACCGAGGATGCTGCACGTTCTGAGCGTCCACACTCTTTTTATTTCCCCATATCTGACATAGGGTAACAGGAACAGAGGCCAGGGTGGGGACAGCGCTGCCTGGGGGTAGTGGTGATAAGGTGGCCTTCATTTGGGTGGAGGGGAGATACAGGAGCCCTTTGCACCTCCAACCGGAAACCCTTTCCTCCTGATCAGAAGGCAGCAGGCAATCAGATCCCCTCTCTATACGCGACGCAAGGCCTGATTCTGCCGTCACCCTCAGTTCTTTCACCCTTATGTGTTGTGAGGGGGGCCCTCCAATCAAGACGAGGGGGAGGGGGGAAGTAGGAGCTCTTTGGGGCCTAGTGCTCTGTGTTGTGGAGGTAGGAGGCAGGGCTGTCATCTGGGTCTGGCCCAGTCACCCAGTCGTGTCCAGGCCGTGGCCCTGGGACAGGGCATCCTCAGTGGGCTCTGGGGACTCTCTCCTGCATCTGCTGAGGCTGCCAGGATCCCAGGCTTGTCCATCTCATTAAGTTGTTGAGTTGCCTACTTAAAGGTTATTCTCTCCCACCCTAAACTCAAGGTTAATGTTTGCCTCAAGCTGGAGGGCAACACAGAGGCTAGTGGGACCTTCTGGTGGTGCTGGCTTCCTATGCCCAGGAGAGGTGGCTGGACATCCCCAAGAAGATGTGATCCCAGCTGCAGAAGTCAGCTGTGACCACCAATTTAGAGGGAAGGAGACCAAGAGAAGATTGCCTACTTCCCATTCCTTAAAAAAAAAAAAAAAAAAAAAGGTGATAAAATGTAGGCAGGGTGATGGCTGTACCATTTATCCTGACCTGATCATTACACATTTTAAAAACATATTGAAAAGTCACAATGTACCCTATAAATAAATGCAGTTGCTATGTCAGTAAAAACTTTTTAGCCAGGCAAAGGTGGCTCATACCTGTAATCCTAGCTACTCAGGAGGCAGAGATCAGGAAGATCGCAGTTGGCAGTCAGCCCGGGCAAATAGTTCAAGCTACTCTATCTTGAAAATACCTATCACAAAAGGGCTGGTAGAGTGGCTCAAGGTGTAGGCCTTCAGTTCAAGCCCTGGTACTGCCAAAAGAGAGGGAGGGAGGGAAGGAGAGAGAGAGAGAGAGAGAGAGAGAGAGAGAGAGAGAGAGAGAGAGAGAGAAAAGAAAAGAAAGAACCATTGCAGATATTCAATAAAGTATTTAATTGGTGGCATAAACTGGTTCCTGTTGCTAAGTCCCAGCCAGCTATCATATACCCAGTAGGTTAAGGCCCTAGTAAAATTATCATATTGCATGTCTTAATGAAATTAGAATGTTAAAGAAATTGTATATTCACTTAAGTATAAACTTAAAAGAAAAAATAGACAACAAAAAACCTCCCCCTTTTGGTGAATAGTTTAGTAAAACGAAAAAAATGTGAAGAGACAAGAAGGAGTTTATGTAAGAGTCACACAGCTTTAACAATGATAAAACAGATTGCTGTGTGCACACCTCCAAGTTAAGAAATAGATCTTCTGTGTTCTGTTTCTGGTTTGGGTCCCATCCTAAGAGTATGGGGCTAGATACATGTGGAGGAGCCCCAAATACGCACATCTGGGGATGGGAAGTGTTAGGCAGTTACCTAGGGAAACTGAGGGCAGATGCTCCCCTCTGGTTGTTTAGGGACTAGGATCACCTTTCCTTCTGAGGTTCTGTGCTAAACCAGCTCTGGCCAGCAGGGGTCAAGATGAGCAGGCAGGAGGGAGATGTGTAGAGACTGCCAGCTCTGTACCTCCCCTCCAGTTGACCACAGGCAGGGCTGGGTCCGAGACTCCTCCCTCTGGATTCTTCTGTATCTGAGGACCAGGTCAGAGGTAGGCATGTCAATTAGACTGGCCTCTTGGGGTAGGTGGCTGGAGAGACAGACAGATATTTGGAGCTAAGGGGCAAAGGAAGGAGTGCCCAGCAGGAGAGACCTAGCGGGAGGCCCATGAGAAACTGTTTGCAAAGTCTGTGAAGTGGGCAGCATTTGTGCCAAGCTACAGGTGCTCAGAGAGGTTAGAACCCTACCCGAGATCATACAGCTAGGATTGACCCTATGGAGCTCAACTTCCAACATCTGCTTGTTGCCAGTATTTTGTGTGTGTGTGTGTGTGTGTGTGTGTGTGTGTGAGTGTGTGTATCTCTTTCCCCAGCCCCACCCTGCCTCTTGGGACATCTGTACCTTGGTACCTAGTATAATGTTCTCTTGGATTCCTCTGACAATGACCAAGCAACCCAGCCTGTTGGGGCGGTTGCCCACCACACTAGGTAGGTCGGAGTGCACCTCTCTGGGGTTTTCTGCTCCACTCTGCCCTCTCAAGAGTTCTTACTGCCCACTCACCCAAGCTGGAGATTCAGAGCAAGCTAACTGGCCAACTCTTAACAAGGCCCAAGGGCAGTTCTGTGTAATATCAGAAGGAGGGACAATCAAAGACATTGACCTCCAGGACCTGGTGGCAGGAAGAACTTTACACCCTTAACTACTCCTCTTGAGGGTGGGGTAGGGAGAGTACCCTGCCCTTGCCTATTCCTGTCTCCTTTCTCCAGGCCTATGAGATTGTGAAATATGTATTCGGTCTTTGTGTTCTTTCCTGGGAACCCCTGGAGTGATGTGTCTTTTTGTATACTAATGAGCCCACTGCTGGCCAGCAGCCCCTAGGTAGCTGTAGGGTAGGACTGAACATTGAAAGACCAAGGCAAGACCAGAGGATTGGGACTTTCAGCCCCACCCCAGCCTCCAGGGAAGGGATGGAGCCTATTGCCAGTGGTTTTATCAGTCATTTCTATGTAACAAAACCTCCATAGAAACCTCAAAGGACAGGTTCCAAGAGCTTCCAGGTACCTGACCAAGTGGAGGGTCTTGGAGGGCAGTGCCCAGGGAGGAAGCCCTAGCCCCTTCCCCATACTTGGCCCCATGGATCTCTTCATGTGTATCCTTTCTAATATCCTTTAGACAAAATAGTAAACATAAGTGTCTCCCTGAGTTCTGTGAGCCATGTTAGCAACTCAGTTCAACCCAAGGAGGGCTCATGGGAACCCTGACTTATACCTTGTCTGTCAGGAGCACAGGAAGTTAGCCTGGGCTTTTGACTAGCATCTGAAGTGGACGTCTTGGGAATACCCAGCTGGTTTCTGCTGCACAGAATTGATTGCTTGCTGGTGAAGAGAAATCACCCCATCTGTCTGGGTCCCAGAAGTCTCCTGAGTTTGATTGCTGAATGAGAACATAAGAGAAGCTGAGGGGTTTTTTTTGTTTGTTTGTTTGTTTTTCTGTGGTACTGGGGTTTGAACTCAGGGACTACACCTTGAGCCATTTCACCAGCCATTTTTAAAGGTTTTTTGACATGGTGTTTCTCAAACTAGTTGCCCAGGCTGACTTTGAACTACAATCCTCCTAATCTCTGCCTCATGAGTAGTTAGGATTACAGGCAAACCATCGATTCCAGACTGAATTTGTTTTTCCTGCTCAAGGCCCATCTCAAAGCCATTCCTGTTGGCCACTTCAGGAGCATGAGGCTGGAGAATGTTCTGTTTTTGTGGACCTTGGGAGAGGCCTGCACAGTCCTCACACTAACCTGGGGCAACCCTGCTCTGCCCTCTGGGCCTGGGCCTGGGCCTGGACTGGGGTCTGGTTCTGTAAGGAGCCTGTGCCAGCAGGAGGTGGGCTCACCCTGGGTGACACAGCCCAGAGGATCACAGGCCAGGTCAGGAACGGAGAGGGTGGGCTCCGGGACTTCTGTCGCCTCTAGTCCTTTTGGAGCATCTTGTTTCCTATTTCCCCTTATCCCTATCCCTACTGGTGAACTCCCAGAGCAGTACAAAGCCCCTCACTCAGGCCTAGGTTTCCATTGCTGGCATGATGTCTGGGCATAAGGGATCCTGCAAGCTCCTCTCCTTGGCTCCATTCTGCCCTGGCTCAGCAGTCCTACCTCCTCGAGGACAAGGACTGTTTTCTGTGTGCTCCTGGCCTCACCCCATACCTAGGGTGGACAGGTGCAGAGCTAGTGAGTGACAGCACACAGCACAGCTTGACTTACCAACCTCTGAGGGACAGCTAGCATTCCTCTCATTCTGAATGCAGGCAACACTCCCACAGAGCAGCACCAGTGGGGCCTGTGGTGTTTTAATTAATTTATTAATTAATTTTTTTGGTGGGACTTGGGTTTGAACTCAGGGCTTCATGCTTGCAAAGCATGTACTCTACCATGTGAGCTATACTTCTAGTCCTGATGTTTTAATTTCTGACATAATATCTGTACCTACCTGTGAGGTACAGTGTGATAGTTTGACATGTGTCTACATTGTGTGATGGTCAGATTGGACACCAGCATTTCCATCTCCTCAAGCATTCACCAGGGTCTTTGTGCTGGGAATTCCCCTCTTCTAGGTCTTTATAAAGTATATTGTGAATTGCTGGTCACCCACTGTGCTGCAGAGCACTAGAGCTTATACCTCCTGCCTCACTGTATTTTGGTTCCCATCATTCAGCACCCTCCCACCACCTAGTGACCAATATCCTTCTTTCACTGTGAGGCCAACTTTTAGCTTCACATGAGTGAGAATATGCAGTATTTGTCTTTCTGTGTCTGGCTTACATCACATAATACAGTTTCCTCTAGTTCCATGTAATGTTGCCACAGATGACAGA